TTATTATTATTTTATATATATACATGTTATTGTGAATACAAATCTATGAATGATTTTTTCTTTTAAAAATTGTTTTGTTTTTTTGAAATTTTTTTTTTCATGTTTTTAGCTTTTAAATGTGTAGATCTTTGTGTTTTTGTATTTTTTTATGTTGGATTATATTGTGTTGCATTATATTAAGTTGGATTTATATGGGAGACAAGATTTTAATTATATTATATATGTTAGATTATGTCGTAAATGACAAGTCTTTAATTATATTATGATATTCTATAATTATGTTGAATTATTTAAAATGTTAGATTTACTTAAAATTTTAGATTATGTTGGCTTAGGCTTGGGCTAGTGCGAATATAGAGGATGGGGCGGGGGATGAAGGCGAGGGACGGGGCGGAGATTATAAATTTATCCGCAGACGAAGATGGGGATAAAAAATATACTCGTTAATGAGGGTAGACCGGGGATGGACGAAATTTTTTTAAGCGGGTATGGGAATGGAGACTACACCCCCTGCCCCCGCTGCAGTCCACTGCCATCCCTGTCTACTAGTTTCTCTCTATCTGTGTAGCTGACTCGCGAATCAAACTCAGTCCATTCAATTACACATTAGTTTTGGTCAAATGGTTATTGATTTTAAAGTTACGGGTTTTGTTAGAATAGATCGTTCATATACAATATATGGAGAGGTCATTAAATTCGAGAATGATAGGTCAATTGTCGAATTTAGCAATCCAAATTATTGTCCCGCCAAAGATTGGTTGGAGAGCGCGGGGTCTATACCCCCCACGGTACGAAGAACATGCATTAGAGATTTGTCTTGGATCATAACCTATATAAATTAAATTGTAACCCTATTTTTGTATGTGAAATAAAAATAAGGTAGTTGTTCTCTCATGGACGTAGACATATTGTCGAACCATGTAAAATTTTGTGTCCTTTCTTTTAATTAATTATGTTTTTTTTAATTATCCATTGCACACACAAATCACAATAGGTTTGAATTTTGTCGTGCCCATCTCTTATAATAGTATTAGTTATTACATGTGCTTAAAGATACAGAATAATAAAAAATGATATACAATAAATATATTTATATTCATATTCAAAATCAAATCACAAACATAGAAAATAGATAAAAGAATTTAAACATCAATTTGTCGTGGGGGTGAGAGGTGGTGGGTGACAACAGTGGTGGTAGGAGACGGTGATGGTCGTGGTGGGGGTGGTGGTGGCGTCGACAGCAGCGGTGGTGGTGGTGGGGGCGGTGGTGCAGTGGCGACGGTGGCGGTGGTGCAACAGTGACGGTGGTGGTGGCAGTGATGGCGATGGCAGTGGCGGCGACGGTGGTGGTAGAGGTAGTGGTGTGATGGTTTCACACACTATTTTTTTAAAGTATTTATGAGAAATAATTTTTAAATGTACTTTTAAAAAATCACTCCAAACACATCCTTATTAGCCTATTTTTCTTATTAAATTTAGAATGCTAATATTAACTGTTAGATTAACTTTAAAATAAAATTTAAAGCGATCTCAACCGTGAAAAATAAAAATCATTTTGTTTATCTTTTGAGATTTAAATTGTGAGCTACTTTATTATATAAATTTGAGCTAAAAAATTTTACGCATTAGTTCACTTTAGAAGACAGAGGATAATCTTCATGTCACGCCATAATTTCCACAATAGATATGAGCTAAACTATTAATTATCACATATGAGATCATAACTAAATATCATAAATTAAAATAAAATCAATCACTATTAATCATCTAACTAAACAAAAATTCCACAAAAATATAATTCAATCATCAATGTTACCTTTAAATAAACCAAATCTCTCTTCTAATTAATATAAAGTTAATAGCATTCATCCTTCATAAACCAAATGAACTAAATTAGATAAGCACAATTCCAAGCCTCGAAATCTGGATTTACATCTTAATCCGTCTCAAACTCCACTTCCATATGCTCACTTATAGTGGTATTCTTTTCTATACCAACATCTAAAAAATGCAAAGAAGGGATGAATAAACAAACCCAGTAGAAAAATTCTTCCAAATCTAGACAGTGGTTATAAATTAATAAAAATAGGTAGGTCTTGATTTCAACAAAATAACATAGATAGCTTTGAAGTAAAACCAGTAACATTTAACGATCTTATGTGTACAATACATTCCATAGCATTATAAAATTATTTCAAAAAACATCAACTATTAGTAAAATATCACAAGTAAACAAAAGATTATAATAAACGTATCTCACGTATGTATGCTGATTAGTTGGAATTCACACATCGATTATATCTTACCCACGTACACTCACACCCAAATCGTCAAATCTATTACCCGCAAGGTCACAATACTTTAGGACGTGTGTATACAATTGCATTTGCATTGTCGAAATCTTTTTAGTATATTAACTCCCAATCTTGATCACCGTGAGCAAATAGTGCAAATATTAGAACCTTACAAAGAACCAAACAACTCCACTACGAGTGATAGAGATTTTTCAAACACCTAGAGGTAAGAAACTCATCTAAACATTATGTGATATACATTCGAGTATAACTCACGTTCATCACACCTATCCATACAAAAGATAAAATATGAACTTTTAATAAAATTTACATATCTCACAATTCGTAATCCCACAATTCTCGAAATAGAAGAGTAATCAAATTAAAACATTCCAAGTTGGCCATAATCAAGATATGAGATTTTTTCATCAAGAACATATAATTTTGATGGTATATCATGTATTTATTAAAAAAAATGATTGAATAGAAACCCAAAATGTTGTTTATCTACCATATCATTATGAATCAAAATCAAAAGATGCATATACATAACCCTAATTTTCAATAAATAGATTTGAGAAAGAAGTCCTACCATAATTCATAAATAATTGATCGTAATGTGTGTTGATACAATTATCATGAATTCATCCTCCAAGATCTAGCCCGTCTTCCTTCTTTTCCTTTTTTCCAACTTTCTTTATATTCTTAAGGTTGAAAAATAGCTAAAGAAATCCTGAAATACGTTGGGTATTTATATTGTCAAAAACTATTCAGACAACACAAAATTGATCGTTACTCCCAATATCTCTTGTTTTTCAGACTTATGCGTTCAAATGGAGATTTTTCCATTTAAATGGACTCTAAGATTCTACAACTTGTCCCTATTTTTCAAGCTCATTTTGACCTAGTTAAAAGTTAATTCAAGAATATTTGTGAAATATATTTTTGTAACTCTTGAAATCTATTTTTCAATACAAGAATAAGGTCCATCATACATCGGGATAAAAAATTATAGTCAAAATACTAAGGTAGTATCAAATTTTGTCCTACTATAATTTTCTCCAAAATATATTTTAACTTTCAAATACTTTTAAACTTCTAATACACCTCATATCATATTTCTTGAGGTTTCTCGACCTTTCAGATTCATTGGTAATTTTATTTTGACCCAATTTTTTTTTTTTCAAAATTTACCAATCTGCACTTCTCAAGCTTAAACGCATCCAAAACTAAGTTTAAGATGAAAATCAATACGCAAGAAACTCAAAATTTACAATCAATTATTCAACAACAATTCAAAGATTCTATCATAATTTTAAAAATACATTTAATATCATGTCTTTAAATTTTGTACTAGATCTTACACTTCATCCGTCAAATTTGCATCGTTTGATTAAAGTTTCAATGGTGATGGGACTAGGTGTAGCAGGCAAACCATTTTTTTTTTTTTTTATAAAAACCTATATCTACTTGTTTTTTTTTTTTATACAAAATATATACCCATGTAATATTTCATGAAAATGATATTGAGACTTAAAAATTTGACATAATTTGTTAATCTAGTAATGTGATTTTATTATAACTGTTGGATTAACATTAAATTTTAATGTTTGATGGGATCCATAATCAATCCAATTACGGTAGTTAATTAAGTTAGCAAATTAAGTCAATAAATGAGTGCCTAATAATATTACTCATATTTATAAGGTGAAAAAAATGAGTGGACTATTGACAAATTCTTGCTCTTAAACCCACCTAAATACACAAATACTGACTCAATGTATAAACTTCAGCCACTGTATGGTCCGAGGAGATGAACGGAGATTTTGAAGTACTTATCTTCCTCCGCTATAGCTGCAGATGTTTTTACATGTTTTCAGAAAATAATTAAAAAAAACACTTACATGTTCGTCTTGTAAATGATTGAATGTTTGAACAAGAAGGCCAAGCATACATAAAAGGGATGTATGACACGAAATATGACAAGTCACTCTTGAAAATTTGTTGCCTCGATACACTAAGAGTTCACAGAGACCAGAACTTTAGCATTTTCCTTGGGGGAAAACCCATCCCTGCACTTTGAACTTACACATCACAACCCAATTTTTTTTGTTTATTTTAATTTTTTTTCTTTTTAGCATTTTGTGTGTGTGTGAACAGGATATTCCCTGGTTACCCTTTTTCATTTCTTGCATTTTGTGCAGGATACCTTAGAATACTACTCAGATAAGTAAATAATATATAAGCAAGCATAACACTAAATTAGTAAACTTACTTTTTTTTTTAGATATTGTATTCGGGCGAATTTACGCACGATTTCAAATAATCTGCTCTTTGATTTGAACAAAAAACAAGGCATTCACGCCAAGATTAGAAAATTTATGAGGGATAAATCCCTCATAGTCTATCCTCAAAAAAATTATCAAATTTTGAATTCAAGACACGTAAATTTATAGTTCATCATATCACTTTAAAATAATAAAAATTAAATGTATCAGTAATCAGATAAGTAAACAGTACATAAGCAGAGGAATTTTGGATACCGGTGTCTAACCCTATAAGCAGAATACGATATAAATCAACATCGAAAGTTTGTTCATGATACGTACCAAGCAGCAGTGAATACTGACTAGCCATTAATTGGAACCCCTATGGAAAATTAAACTAGTGCTTTAAGAGAGGATTTCCATGAGGACATAGGAATGGCTATGGAGAATCCGGTGACCTGCCGGTATAGGAGTTGAGGCTGAGCTCAAGGGAAGCACGAGAACCGGCCATGGCGCCATGTGATCGATACCAGCCGGTGTAGTAGTTCTCAGATTCCGGCTTCATGTTGCAGAAACCAGAGATGTTGTCGCCATGCATGGGGAAGACAGGAAGGGTCTCTATCTCCGGGTTTTGTTCTTCTTGTTCCTTCTCTTCTAGGGTTCCATCATCTGATTTTCTCTTTTCAAGAAAAGGGTAGGCTGTAGGATATGGATCAACCCCCACCAGTCCAAAACTATGGCCACCTGCTGATATTGAACAGTCCTGAGGGAAAGAAACACGCCAAAGAATTTAGAGACAGGAAAATGAGAATGTGTGTGTGTGTGTGTGTGTGTGAGAGAGAGAGAGAGAGAGAGAGAGAGCAGTTCTTACAATTTTGTTCAAAGCTGGTTCTAAACAAAACACTAATACCAAAAGAAGCTGAAATAATAATGTTATTAGCTTGAATTTCATATTTGGGAAAAAGCCTTTTGAATAGTTGATTCTAAGCAAGAATTCCCTGGCTTGTCTCTCCTTTTTTATTGTTGAAAGATTGAACTAGTCTTGTAAAACATTCCCATTCATTTTGTTATATTTAGCATGTCATGAGGCATTGTCACACAGATTAGTGTAAATTTTGTGCTAGTTATTTGATTCCTACCATTGCAAAGATTGTAAGAACTACAAAGAAGATGACTTGTGCCGACTTACTTCATCATACCACTTTAAGACAGGATCAAGAATTAATCAATTTTATTTGTTTTTCTTACCCTAAAACTCTTTTCCATGGCCACAGATCCATAAACATAGCTTCCCACCTGCCCAACAGCAAGCATACCAGATGAAGAAGAAGAGGGAGATGGAATACCTGCAAATAAACGATACTCATATAAAAAAAAACCCTCAAAAACATCATGAAAACACACATTTGCACCCATATGACAACCCAACAAAGCTTAAAAAAAGAAAAAACAAAGATTAACAGCAAAGAAATGGAAAAGAATGATGAAGAGGGATTTGGGAATTTTGAGAGTTCACCAAGATTGATGTTAGGGAACTTGTTGTAAATGGTATCTTCAGATCTCCAACTACTATTGAGAACACCTCTTTGCATGGCAATATCAGTAGTGAACCTTTTTTTCTGCCTCTCACGAGCTTTATGGTTCTGAAACCAATAAAAAACGTTCTTGCCTTCGATCTAGCCGTACTGTCTCAGCCTAGCCGAAATCCTCTGAATCTGCTCAGCACTTGGAGACCTAACTCCATTGTTGTAGTAAAGGTCCTTCAATATTCTTATCAGGTCGGTGGTGGGTGTCCACCTTTTAATGCTTTGCCTGCACACAGGTTATAGTAAAATTATATCAGTAAATTATGTTAAATTTGAGTTATACTATAAAGACTTAAAAATTAAATTTAATAATCTTAACTATTGAATAGATAATGAATCTCATTAAATGTTGGGATCCACATAGAAATTAATAATTGTAATTATTAAGTCTAATTGTAAAGGTCCTTTCAGTCGCTTACTACTACTATTACTACTACTCCATCCCAGCCTTTTGTCTCCGGCCCTTGTCATTCCTTGGAACCATGAACTCTTCTACCCCTCTCAGCTGGCGGAGGCTAGTGGCCACCGCCGTGTCTCCGTGGACACCACGCTCCATTCAGTAAAATAAATTCTTCCCAATGACATTCCTCATCTCCCTTGGGACCTCAAGCTTCATTCTTAACAGTTTATATCATACTACATATGTAGCTTCTGTTTGGATATATATTTTGCTAATTTAAGTAATTTGCTTGATTAATTATTATTATTAGTTGAGAATAAGTCATGACCGATATACAAGTTTACTATCAGTTTAATGTTAACGATCGATTCAATCAACAAATTAAATTAATAAATTAGATCAAACAAGTGGAAGAAAAAATAACAAATTAAGTCTTACTTTAAACAATTTTAATAGTTCCAATAAATCTTACTTTTCTAAAGATGAAAATAAATTTTGTTTTTAACTCTAAAATATATCATAATTTATTTAAAAATTAGAAAAAAAATTGTTGATAATTTTATAGTATTTTTTAATTTCCATTGTATTCATTACATATCCAATAGTTTCGTTTACTTCATAATTTTTCCCCACTTAACATTAATATTAACTTAGTGATCATTTGTATATTTTTTTTTCACAAGTCTTATTTGGATATTTGTTTTATAACTTATGATTCAATAAATTATTACGATTTAAAGATAACAGTACAAATATTGTTATTGTTATGCCAATCAAAATACATATGAAAAACCCCTATGTTCAATAATTTTTTTTGTACCGAAGTGGGATAAAGGTTTTTTCAAAAATATTTGGGAGGAAAGTTTGAACAAAAGATTATATGTATGTATTTATTGAAATAACTCAACATGTTGTGATTAATTTTCCCTTAACAAGAGGAGGGAAGCCGGGCTTAGCGAATTTTTTAAGGCCTCCTTCGTTGAATTTATATGTTTTCTTCGATAATGCTTATGGGAGAAGAGGGCTCTAATTCATATGATCTATAAATACATGCATGAAGAAAAATATGTTGATGAAGTTGGACTGTGATTTGCCAGTAAAGCTCAAAATCTGTCCTCTTATTCAAAATCCTGAGCTGCCTACCTCAGATGTAGTGCCCTAGAGTGCACCCCCACCCCCACTGGCACACTCCCTTTTCTTACGGGTAATCATCCCCTTGACGTTATGTTCTCTCCCATATCTCTAAAGATACATCAAGATCATCAACCCCAGATCTCTCTCTCTCTCTCTCTCTCTCTCTCTCTTCCATTAGTATGCTACCAGTCTCATTTTCTTTTTGCTTTCTCTCTCATTAAATCCTAGAAAGAGACTGCCAAACCATACAGAGAAAACCCTAGCTACAAAATTTACTTCTTTGCTTCTGTATCTTTTAAATTTATGGGTTTGAAACAAAACCCAAATGTGGGCGTGAAGGAAGCAAACTTACCCAGAATAGACATTCCTACGTATGATATGCTGTATAGTCTCTGATGGAAGTGGTTGCTTTCATGTACTTTATATGTTCGTTTCTTCAGTTCTAGAGTTCTAGCATGGACCCCAAAGTTAATGTATTTAGGGTTTTACATGATTCAAAATCCGAATCTGAGGTTGGACCACACCAATAGCCACTCTTAAGTTCAAATTACTTATCCCTCTTTGTCTTCTTAAATGCTCTAAGTTGACTGAATCTTTTGGAGGACCACAAGACATTTGATCGATCCTGTTGAATGTTGTTAGACCAAGTTTGCTGCAGCTCACTGACTGTAGTTTCGCCACATATTGAGATCTATTGCTTTGAATAGCAAGTGTATATAAATATATTTTTTTTTGGTGGGGTTGTGGTGAAGTGTGGCCAAGGAAGAATTTAGAATTTGGGTCTAAGGGAATGTGTTCTTTCGACATGAAAAAGGAGAATGCTTTAGTTAGGATAAACATGAGCCAATATCGTTATGAACCATGGACATGTATGGGTTACCAAGTGCTCGAGATCCACCAAGTCCTAGACTCCTTGGCTAGGAAGAGGGGGCGGCAGAAGGCCATGGGGTTTCTTTGTGACGATTATTTGACAAATTCTATTTCAAGTTAATGATCTTATAAACATTGTCTATCTGAATTCTAAGTAATTCGCTTGAGAATATAAGTCAGTGAGCCTTTGACCATATCATGAGATATAGTTTATGTCCCATTTTTCTTATCAATAATGCAAGGAATTTGACTACTAACTGTCTCTCTTCCTGGTATCTTTTTTAGGGTACCCTTTCTGTTAAAATGGGAGGAACATAGGGTAATGTATATTATGATGCAGTACATATAGTTGAGAATTACAAGTCAGGTCAGGACCATCAAATTGACACTGATAGAGCTAGTTGAATTTTTGTTCGTTGTCAAAAAATTACAAACAACCTATTCCGAAAATCTCTGGTTGATTTAAGTAAAATTGAAGATTGAAGCCTTTGTCCCAAACATTATCCCCAAGAAATGATATTTGCGCCACTTTGTTCGTTTTATCCCACACTTAAAAGTATTTGAGTAATTGTTCGTATTTGTTTGATGTTTCTTTTAATTTCAGTCTGTTTAGGGTTTTCTATTATATTGGTGTAAACAATTATTCAAGTGCTTTAATATTCTGGTAATATAATGGTAGAGAACATTTTTTCTTTCCTCCAATTGATTTACATTTTTTAAGCATCAACAAAGCCATTGAAGAAATTTTACCTGGTATTGTCATGGATAGTCAACAAGTATAAATCCAATGTGTTGTTTTGGTTTTCATTTGATCACACTCCCTGAATCATCATGACCAAATATGAGGTTATGAGGAAGGCAGAACTTTGAGTGCATCACAATCATGGCCCTCTCTTATCTATATAGGTTAGTTGTTAGCCCCTGCTGGCATGGCCAAGGCATGTGGATGCCTTGCCCAATGACACCCCATGCCAAGGCTAAGATATAGGGGGTGTGCTTTGATAGAATTGATCAATGCGAATGAAGAAGAGAAAAAGAGAATGTATTATTCATAGAAAACCCAATCTGTAATACACAGCATATACCTAGAAATAAACAAAATAAGTCCTATAAACAAAGTGAGTCTTATATAGTAGGGCAACACAACATAAAGAAAATGTCTAAACTACTCTTAGTATTAATATTCTAACACTCCATCTCAAACTCATGATGTAGTAGAAAATATCAAGAGTTTGCCAAAAAGAAACTGGAAACGTGCTATGGTGTGAGACTTCGTAAAAAAATTCGTTTTCTGCATTATGGAAGGAAGAAAGGGGAGAGTGATGGTGCCCTGCTGCAGATGATGGCGCACAAAGTAACAATCAATCTCAATATGCTTTGTGTGCTCATAGAAAATCGAGTTATAAGCAATCTGAATAGCACTAGTGTTGTCGTAGAACATAAGAGTAGGAGAAGATACCGAAATATCAAGATCAGCAAGGAGCCATCATAACCAAACTATCTCAGCTGTAGTAGCTGCAATAGCACGATACTCAGCTTCAGCAGAAGAACGAGCAACAATAGTTTATTTCTTACTTTTCCAGGAAATAAGAGAATCCCCGAGAAATAAGCAGAAATCAGTAGTGGACTTGTGATCCATAAAGTCATCAGCCCAGTGAGCATCAGAGTAAGCCCTGAGTTTCATAGATGAAAAGTGAGGAAATAGTAAACTCTGATGTAGAGTACCACAGAGATACCGAAGAATGCGAAGAACAACAGCCCAGTAAACGGTGGTGGGTAAAACAACAAATTGACTCACAATGTGAACAACATAAGAGATATCCGGACGAGTGATTGTAAGATTTACTAAACTCCCAACAATAGTGCGATATAGAGTTGGATCAGACAAGGAAGTACCATCAGACGAAGAATAACGAACATTGAGTTCTAAAAGTGTTTCAACTGTCCGATTATCTGATAAACGAGCTCGTTGAATAACATCTGAAGCATACTTGGACTGAGAAAGAAGATATCATTTAGGAGAGGAAGCAATCTCAATACCCAAGAAATATCTAAACTGCCCCAAATATTTCATTTCAAAATGGTCCTGCAACTGGATTTTCAATAAGCATATGCCAGCAATGTCATCACCCGTAATAATCATATCATCAACATATAGTAAGAGAATAATAGAACCTGAAGAAATAAATCGTAAAAAGAAAGCAAAATCATGATCATTGGCACGAAAACCCAAGTCACAGATAACCGAAAAAAATTTGGCAAACCATGCTCTGTGAGCCTGTTTATGACCATATAAGGCACGATGAAGTTAACATACTTGACTAGAACTATAAGATAATCCAGGGGAAAATGTCATAAAAATCTCTTCAGTTAAATCTCCATGTAAAAATACATTTTTCACATCCATTTGAGACAAACTCTATTGTCGAATGACAGCAACTACAATCACAGTGCGAACAATAATCATCTTGGCAACAGGTGCAAAAGTCTCATCATAGTCTAAACCATATTCCTGAGCAAATCCTTTAGCTACTAATCGAACTTTATATCGTTCCACAGAACCATCCGACTTGGTTTTTATCTTATAAACCCACTTACAACAAATGGTGCGTTTACCAGGCGGTAAAGGCACTAGCTCCCAAGCTCTGGTCTTATGTATGACAGACAACTCCTCATCCATAGCTTGTTTTCAAAGTGAATCAAGTAAAGCCTCCTTGTAGGAGGTGGGTTCAGATAGAGAATAAATAAAAGTAAGAAAAGAACAAAAGTCAGAAGAATAACAAGTATTACTCCAACCAAACTTGTCTGGACATTTGCGAGAGCGCTGAGGATAGCGTGGAGTATGATCCACAGTGTCTGAACCTAATTGGGCGACTGGAGGAGAAAGAAGAGGCACTACATCCGAAGAGGAGATAATTGGAGTTCTGCGAACATATGTATACATAATAGGAGGACGAGTAATAGTTGGCTCAAAAGATGAAGGATCTGACAAAGGTATATTACTAACATATGTGTCATGAGGAACATTAATAGGAAATGAATCAATGTGTAGCAAGTCAGACTTATTCTTTTTAACTTTTCCAATTCACATTTAAGTTTTTAATTGATTGATCTGGTTTGCCATATAATGTATTCAATTTTTTTTGTTATTTTTTGTTTGTCAGATGATTAATGAAATGCTTGATGGAAAGAAGCAAGAGGACCTTGAATTTGAGAAGAGTTTGATAACAAGGTCTCTACTGTTGGATTTTTCTGAGAAATCAGAGGCGTCTGATTCTTCTGGGTGTTCCTCTGTTCTAACGTACCAAGAAGGAGATAGTGAAGGTCGAGAGAAGTTGTTCACAGATAATGATGATGCATCCATTTGGTCTATTCAAGTCAATGCAAGTACTAGAGATAAAGAAGGACCTGAAGAAGTCAACGTACTATGAAGATGGAGAAGAAGTTGAAGCAGACGATGGAGGGTTGGTTGATGAGCTTTGTGAAGGGATTTGCAAGATCAATGTGAACTGTGAGACAACAGTGACAAAATTTACTGGTAAGCTCACACGGTTTGTGTACAATAGCGATGATGAGCTTGAAGGAGAAGAAGAATGTGGTGATGGTGAATCAGAATCGACTGTTTCAATGGGTATATTGCGCTTGAAGGGCTTGCCAACACCTGAAGGGAAGCACCTGCGTTTCCCGGAGGACTTGGAAGAAGATTGAAACTTGTCAATGGATTTGTGGTGGTTGAGTGTTTGGGGCTTTGATTTCTCTATTCAGTGGTTGTCTTTCTTGTGACTCCACACTTTCTTTGTTGTCGGTTGTTATTTTCTTTCTTTTTTTGGGATTCAGTCTTGAGTATGGAATCATGGGTTGTTAACAATTTTTTGATTGATGAAGCAACAGAATGTTTGCTGGTCGGTTATCATTTCTTACAGAATTTAGGAGGGTTTGTGCTGCTGCGTTTTCATTTCTGCATTGTCTTAGGTGTGTTGTTAACATTTTCTTTGGTAGATACAACAGCAAAAAAATCCTGTGAGAGTTGGGAAAATTGTAACATGATGAGAAATGGATTGGGAAAACACTTTTTTTTTGATTAAATCCACCAATCCTTCTAGAAATTTACCTTTAACCCATTTCCTATAACCCACCTAATTCCTGAGTCTAGCATTTCTTTTAGTTTCAGCAAAATGCATTTCATGTAGGGGAGGCAGTGAACTTCTTCTTTTCCCTATTTTTCTGTAGGCCCTAACCTCTCTCTATCCTTTGGTGTATAAATTTTATCCCAACTTAGCAAATGGACTTTCTTCTTTTCTTCTACATCACCCCATTGGAAACTTCTATTCCATCTATCTAATTAGCCCTCTCCCTTCCACCTAGAAAGTTTTTTTGGATCTGGCTCTTCTACGGTAACCAGGTAACAGCATAGCAAACAATTAAGTGGAACGACGTTGTTTCACTTGTTTTTACAATTTTTTTTTTCTTACCAAAATGACGTCGTTTCACTAAAGCTAAATAACCACATCTGAAACCCTTCTCCTACCTTCGACTTCGTCGACTCAAGTGCTCCTATCTCTTTCTCTCTCTCTCTCTCTGTTTCTTCTCCTACATCCTACGACAAAAAAGCTCCTGTCTTCTTTCCCTCTCTCGCTGATCGCTAAGGAGTACCCAGGTTTGTGCTGCTATTTTGGGTTATTAATTTTGCGAAAATGGACCTAATTTTAGATTTTGTGGACTAAATGCAATATGAGATTTGGTTTGTGCTGTTTTAATTTTTTTTTAAATGTTATTGTATAGTTAAAAATGTTATTGTTCTATGTGAGAGTCCCTGATCTTTGTGTAGTTGAATTTGTATACTTTTTTGAACCGTTTTGTAATCACATCATTTTGAGCCATTCTGCCACTGTGCACTTTTCACAATGCCAGTAATTCAGGAATACACGTAGAAATCCCATGATACAGAGGTTAGAGGGCTATGGTAATGCATTCCTCAATTGATAATTTTTTTTTTCTACGTTTAGGTTGAGGCCAATAGTGTGAACCCTAAATTTGGACTTCAAATTGCAAGTGATATGGAATTTCTGACATACTGATGGCATCCCTATAAGTCAAGCATGCTTTCTCAAAACTGAAAAGAGAGGATCATATTTTGACTTGCAAGTGTTACCTATATTTTGACTCCAGGGATTTTTTAGTGTCAACAATTTTATTTTGCATTCACCAATTCATGGTAGAATTTGATTATGGTTTCTGTCAATGGGATCTGTTAGGGATTTATTGCTTTATTTATATTCTTATGATCTGGATTCTTCTTACATGATGTTACTTTCTTTAGTTGATAAAACCAAAAAATTTAACCCTAAACCTGCATCTCTTTCTAATTATCACCTTTGCTTTTCCTTTTTGAGTGCACCCATTTTAGACTAGGGATGAACATTTTTCCTTTTAATTGACTATCAATGTTAACAAACATTTTGGTCTTAAACCTTTGTGGTAATTTCTAGCACCTTTTTGGGGTCTTAAACAATTAGTCAAGCCCTCATTTTTGTATAGGTTTCTTATGCAACTGGATTTATACAATACCGTAGACATATATGATGGTTGGGAAGCTTCTTTTTTTCTCTTTGTTGCTTTCTCATTCCAAGATTTTAGTCGACCTCAACTCTTGTAACCATCTTCTTTTCTTTTTAAACCTTTAACTTGGAGAAGATTTAAGTCAACATTTTCTATTCCACTTGGATCAACATTTTCATGGATTGGGTCAACATTTTCATAGATTGAATCATTGCCACCATCACCAATTGATGCATACATACTATCTACTTGTTTGAACAATTCTTCAATACTACGTGACACCAATTGATATGCAGGTTAAAGACTAGAGCATCGAGCATCTAGTTGTACCATTCTAGGACAAAGCTACCTGTAACATGACGCCACCGTTAGCTTGGGATTCTCTTCATTTGACATTAAAATGGGGGCTGTCCTACAACTCTTTCTTGCATCTCGTCTCCATCTCTTACATATGTATTGTTCGAAAATTTGTTTAATATTCATTATATCCAAGACTTTAAGTGCATGACCACATAATATTCCCTCCATTTCAAACTTCTGATAACTACAATTGACTATCTCATCAATAGTCTTAACTAAAACCAAATACTCTCTATGTTCATCAGATAATTGAACCATAAATTGATACCACCCAGCCAACATATCACATGAACTTCAGCACAACAGAAGCATTCAAAGATGAACTTTAGAACATAAGCATAGCAGCACACATAGCACAACAGAAGCATAGCAGCACACATAGTAGCAACCTTGATGAGGCTGCAACAAACATTGTAGCACAGCAGCAAAACAGAAGCCAACAATTAACCAAATCTAAAAAGATGAACTTCAGAACAATTGTGTGCCATGAATGATCCATGTTTGCATGCAATTGCATAAAAAACCTTACAAAAATGAGGGATTGACTAATTGTTTAAGACCCCAAATAGGCGTTGGAAATTACCACAAAGGTTTAAGACCAAAATGTTTGTTAAAATTGATAGTCAATTAAAAGGAGAAAGGTCCAACCCCAATCTAAAATGGGTGCACTCAAAAAGGAAAAGCAAACGTGATAATTTAGAAAGATATGTAGGTTTAGGGTTAAATTTTTTGGTTTTATCAACTAAAGAAAGCAACATCATGTAAGAAGAATACAAATCAGAAACATCTAAATAAAGCAATAAATCCCTAACAAATCCCATTGACAGAAACCATAATTAAATTTTACCATGAATTGGTAAATGCAAAATAAAACTATTGACACTAAAAAATCCCAGGAGTCAAAATATAGGTAACACTTGCAAGTCAAAATATGATCATCTCTTTCAATTTTGAGAAAGCATGCTTGACTTATAGGGATGCCATCAGTATGTCAAAAATTCCATATCACTTGCAATTTGAAGTCCAATTTTAGGGTTCACACTTTTGGCCTCAACCTAAACGTAGAAAAACAAAATTATCAACTGAGGAAATGCATTACCATAACCCTCTAACCTCTGTATCATGAGATTTCTACGTGTATTCCTGAATTACTGGCATTGTGAAAAATGTACAGTGGCAAAATGGCTAAAAATGATGTGATTACAAAACGGTTCAAGAAAAGTATACAAATTCAACTGCATAAAGATAAGAGACTTTCACATAGAACAATAACATTTTTAACTGTACAATAGCATTTTAAAAAAAATAAAAACAGCACAAACCAAATCTTATATTGTATTCAATCCAAAAAATCTAAAATTAGGTCCATTTTTGCAAAATCGATAACCCAAAATAGCAGCACAAACCTGAGCACTCCTCAGCGATCAGCGAGAGACGGAAAGAAGTCGGGAGCTTTTTTGTCGCAGGAGGTAAGAGAAGAGAGAGAGAGATAGGAGCACCCGAGTCTGACGAAGCCAAAAGTAGGAGAAGGGTTTTAGATGTAGTTTTTAGCTTTAGTGAAATGACATCGTCTTGGAAAGGGAAAATTAAGAAAATAAAAAATTGTAAAAACAAGTGAAACAACGCTGTTCCACTTAACCGTTTGCTATGCTGTTACCTGGTTACTGTAGAGGAGCCAGACCCACTTTTTCCTGTGTTTTTTCAATTAGATAATAGAAATGTTGGGTTGATTTTCTGTTCTGCAGAATTTGGATGCCTAGATATTTCCCTCAGTTATTTGTCAAAGTGAAACCACAAATTTTCTACCGAGTTACCTAGCCTAGCTTTTTTTTTTTGTTAACGTTTGGGGAAATGTAGACTCTTGATTTAAATAAATATAACTACCTTTTTGTCCAGAAAAGTCACAAAATTCTTATTGCTCATCGGAGATGTCAATGACTATTGTATCTTCCATCTTGGTGCGGGGTTTTTGTTCCTCTACCCTCATTCGAGTCACTCTCATACAGATCTGGCCTTTGTTCCTCTATCCTCGTTCGAGTCACTCTCACACAGATCTGGATCAAAGTAAATAGATGAAGTGTCCTCCAATAAAGCAGCATTGTTGTTTCTGATTTTGGGGGCTTCCTGGGTGCTTCCAGACAGAAACAACTGCTTTGGTGGTAGATAGATCTATAGCCATCTCTTCTTCGATGATTATATGGTTTTCCTTTACTTTCTTTGTACTTCTCTGGAGGTGGCCATCCTCCTCCATTGATCTTTCCAGAGTATTTGTAGAGTCTTCATTCATCAATGTGGCTGTTGTTGCCATTGAATGCCATTTTGAAGTCGTTGATTTCTCCCTCTCCCTTCTCAGGTCACCTTAGAGAGGAAGTGGATTGTTACATCTGTACAGAGGTATCTCGGTAACAAAATAAAAAGGAAATTCATGTAGCTAGGAATGAACAGAATTCGTAGGGTTCTTCCCACAATAAAATGTAACATTGCATGGATCAGATGGCCAAAAAGGTGCCTGCAAGCATAGAACAATGTAAATCATGAGGATAAACTTAAATCATTGTGCAAAATGCAAGAGCTATGTATACTCGGGAAGAATTTCCATTAGCACAAGTAATTTACAAGGGACACTAATAAGAACAATCCATGTCAATCAGACACCATCTTACATTGCCAATATTTACATCTCAATTACAAGGAACCCATGCTTTTGGCTTTCTGATTGACTGGCTAGCTCATAATTTACCAAAACTAGGCACCATACTAAAACCAGGGATGCCATGTTGGATCCATCATGCACAAGTTTCTGGGAGTCAGTGCGGCTTCAACTAACTCGGTCACACCCCTCTGCACAGACTGAGGCGGGTCCACAGCATTCTCCTCCTAATGTAATTAGTTTCAAACAAGCAAACACAGATACAAGATCAGGGCATAACAAGCAGATTGGTTTCACCAAACCAAAAATAAATAAATTGAAACAGGGAAGGAAAGTACGTGTCTATCTCTAACTATTTTTTAGTATCCGTAAACACAATAGTGCATGAAACTTAGAGTTCCTTCACTATATTTGGCTTTTGATCTTGGATTTTAAGAGCACATAATGTTTTCTTTACTTGAATATTGCTGAAGCACTAAAGTTAATGTAGTTGAAAGGAGGCATCCACGGAAAATTTTGTGAAATTGCAGGCAAAACCATACCTCTTCAGAGATGTACTGTGGGGCTATTCCCTTGATCCGAGCAATAACATGGTCGACATTTGTGGTGACCTTCTTTTTGAAGTCAACAGGGTTCAAACTAACAGGGGCCAGAGGCATGCCAAGGGGTCTTCTCCAAGACCAAGATAATAGCTCATCGCGGAAAAACATAGCTAGATGATGCCATAAATGCTGACTTTGCTGCAATGGAAGGTATTTAAGATACCATTAGTCAGCATTGGGAGGAAAAACGAAAAAAGACCAGCTAAAAGTTGAAGCTGACGCATTTCTGCTATAAAACTCACTTTAGGTGAGACCACAGCCTGTGATGCCGCACACATGGCCGACACAATAAGGCCTTCCACACCGAAATGGGAGAAGAATGCCTGTAAATTCCTTGTCAAGCGGAAAGGCACCGGTTCATTAAACTCAATCATTCCATTAGCATCATATGCAGGATGGAAATCTGTCTGGAATATTTTCCCAGTGTTCTTAGCAAATAATATCTTGTTTGGAGACCTCCCCCCAATCTGAAGCATATATGACATGAAACTTGAGAGGGCCAACTGGATGGCAAACTGCTTTTTGAAAGCCCACATATGATTTCCACTCAGCAGAGTCTTCTTCATGTACTGCGAGAATATGCTGTCGGTCACAACATTTTTCGTAATGTCATTATAAGCTTGGAGACGGAGATCCATTACAGCTTCTTGTGATATCTGGCCAGAAATAGCTTGGTTCAGTCGCTCCTTAAAATAGGTAATAGGTAAGTCTGCCTCTCGGTCATTCCTTGCACAATGGTTCTCATATACCTCAAGGAAGGTGCTGTACATCAAATCATCTTCCACCATGCGGACCTAGGTCAAGCATCCATTACTATTATTAGAATAGTTCAGTAAATAATCCTTCTTGGATTTGCTGCAAGTATCACTTTTTTGGCAATTTTACTAAGTTCCACACAGTGCACACATAAGAAATCTATAGAGAGCAGAGAGAGTGAAAAGCACAAGATCACGGTACCTGGGAGGAACCCCTATTAGCATGTCTATGAGTGTCCAAGAAGAGAACAGAAATGAACAAACTAACATTTACCAAGGCTGAACTATCACCTGTGACCACACAGGGATGATGATTGGAGTGTGAATGCATATGTGGCGACGTCTGGATTCCTTGTGTTTATCAAACATTCGGTTCATGACGCGGAAAAGCTGTAATATGCGTTCATCACTTCTAGCGTTGGGAGTCAAAGATGTCTGGACAATAAAATAGCGCTGGGAGCCATCTGAGCCAATTAGAGTCAAGCGCCGGAAACTGCTTCCATGTCTTCTCACAATCGGAATATCAGCTCCAATCCTATCTAGTTTTATTGTATGATCAGGTGCAACTTCCTGAAAAAATGTCACCAATACAACAGTATATAAATAAGCATTCCAGCTTAACTATGTGATATATAAATAATAACCCAAAAAAGAAAAAAAAACTGTGATAAATAAAAAAAGAAAACTGAACATAAAACCAAAGAACAATTGAAGCAAGAACATCATAGATAAGAAGGGGCAAAAAAAGCAGTCTGATACCAATGGTTGGCATTACCTTGCATGAGAAGGGTTTGCATGCAATTAAAAACTAAAAGTTATACTCATTCCTTTACTGCACAAGATTATTATGTTTCATGTTTATGAGAATGCACAACAAAGTTGTAACATTGAAACCAAAATAAACCTGATTGTAAGAGTTCCAATTTGACTAGAGTCATAATAAACCTGATTCAACTAACCTGATCAGTAAAATACTGTCCTGGAACTTCGACATCAACGACATGGAAGTCACGCAACACCCTGCTTTCATCTTCCAGCTTCAAAATAGCAGGAAATCGGTCCTCAACATTGCTTTGGAGAACATTTTTCCAGTGCTTCAATCGTTCAGTCAGCTCGGAAAGAGTAGCTGGAAATGTGGTGGTGCTTTCTGGATCAAGATCGCGTTCAAAATCCAGCTTGTATTCCCTCACAAATTCAACATGCTTGTTCACAGCATCTGCTGAAAAGCAGGCCTTGCAAACACCAGAGAGCTCCTTCTTGAGAGACTGTGGAACCTCTGCTGTAGTTGCTGTTGGGTACTTATAACAGCGGTGAAGCAAAGCATTAACCACGGCCAGTAGTCTCTCCTCTGGCAGGGTGACAAATCTTGAGCCAATTTCTGTAAGCAGAATCTACAAAATGAAATATGACATATTCAGTTGCATGGATTAACCATATTTAAAAATAAAATCCATCTTCGACAAATATATTCCCATCAATGTACTGACAATCACGTAAAGAGATGGGAAAAATTGGAAACAAGAAAGATTTAAGATAGCTTACACTTATATTTCGTCTGCAGTTCATAGGCAAAACAAGATTACCAGTATTGATTTTTCCTTTTGTTTTTACAAAATATAAGCAAATAAGGTCAGTCAAGCAAGAATGAAACTGTTCACCTCAAGTTCGCTGGCCAGATTAGTGTGTTTGCTTCTAAGGGCTTCCATTATATCCTTGGCAGCATCAAAAGCACTAGCAGCAGAAGCAACCAAACCCAAAGCACCATTACGCCTTAATGCATTCTGACCACCATCATTAATATTTGATGAACCCTGTTGTAAAGGTTGGTCAGTCTGCATGGTGCCTTCCACAGAAGTGGACCTTTCAGGTTCTTGCACCTGAGAGTTTGCACCATCGTGAGATCCTACACCACCACCAGGTTGACCTCCTTGATGAACTTGATTGTCAGCTAAAGAAACCCCACCCTGACCAGCCACTCTTGTATTCCCATCAGCCAAGCCAATAGAGCCAGGAGCACCAGCACCAGAGACATTCTGCTGCATTCTTTGCTGAGCCATTGCCAATCTTCCAAATTCAGACTTATTTGCAACATCACGACGTTCGAGCAAATATGTGCGCAGCCAGTAGTACAATGCCTAACATTCAAAAGTTGACATAAATCAATACCAAAGAGATGGGTGTGAAAGCATGTACCTAGATGTCCTCCACAAGAAGCACCATAAAAATTCACCTGTGGGTACACATTGGCAATTTTAAGAAGAACAAGTTTGCAATGAGGAGCTTCAGCTCTCTGCAAGGAAAGCAAGAGCTGGGGAATCCAAGAAAGCCAAACCCAATGTGGTATCTGGTCCAAGTACTTATCAAAAGCTCTCCCCACTGGTTCATTGGGAGTATCAAAGCTTAGAAGATATAGAACACGAGCTAGGTGGCTTCTCGCATTCGAAATTCCAAATTTGATACCTTGAAGAAAGCAGCTCACAGAATTTATTAACCAAATCTCTTCATTGGTTTCTGAGTAAGCCTAGAAAATATAATAGCAGATCAGATACTTTAAGTTATCGGCAAAACCTAGAGTATGACTAGAAATTGCAATAAGCATACCATGTCACAATAGTTTCCCCAGCTAATCCATCCTTTAGGCAAGTTTTTGAAGAGGCTTATGGCATTTGAATATGCAAGATTGGCACCTTCGCAATCATTTAGCTTCATCAAGAAATCACCCTTAATACGAAAAATCTCTGCTTTATGTTTAACAGGAAAATATTCCAGATTGGTACTGTTGATCAGGCTAAGACCACTGGTAAGTTCTCCCTTCATTTCTAGATAAGCCTTTGCTTGTTCTCTTATTTTAACAAAGGCCTCCTGCAAACATGTCACACAAAAAATTCATAAGATGACTGTATCCTATTCTCCATCTCCCCCACGCCCAAGAAAGGAAAAGAACCAAAACAAAAGACAGGAAAAATTTTGGGCACCTGCACTTCCATCGTTGAGTGCCCATACATCTTCTCCAGCACAGACACACAAACATCATACAGGCACTGCTTCCGAGCAATGTGGGCAAGCTTATTGACATTCCATGCTTTGTCACGGTAACCGAGGTGATGAAGTTGTGAATTTGTGGTGCCAAAATCCTTAAAAGCATCAATGACTGCATTATACATTTCATTCCTCCATTGGAGCAAATCATACCAAACAGATGAATTGTCCCATTCATTTGGAGTTCTTAGTCTCCAGGTCTCGAGGATGTCCTTGAGATCGGCATACACACCATTTACACCGCCAACGGAACTTCCAGAAAGTTTGCTTCCATTGGCAATATCCACTATGATTCTGGCCGATTCTTGAACTTCAACTAGCTGTTGGAACTGCTGCAAAAGAGGAATTCTGGCATGAACAGACATTTCAGGCAATTGCCACCACTGTTCCAAAGCAAGATCAACACCTTTTCCCACCATGTTTTCAGCATCCACCACGCCATTTGTATTCTTTTCATGAAGAGCAAAATAGGCTTGGATTATACGAAGTTTTGGAGTCTCTTCTACTTGGGCCTTTGGAATTACCTGATCTTTCAGATATGCCCAATCTGGCTGTTTCCAAAGACTATCAAGCAATATTTCATAATTCTCAACAAGTTTTCCAAAGTCTACTAAAACATCCCACTGACTTAGTTGACTAGCACAATAGAGCCACTGCTCCTCCCAGAGACACATCTCAGCCTTTGGTACTGTGTTGTTGTATGTGCCCTGGGTTGCCTTAACCATGGCTTGGTAAAAGAGGCTTTGAGCCCGCTGCCAGTAACCATGCTGAACAAGTGAAAGCCCAGCCCTTGTTTCTGCAGTAATTGACCGTTTCTTCCACAATCCACACCTCATATCTTCTTCATTGAGCAAACGATAAAGCTCAGCCAAAGACTCAGAGCACTTTGAGTCATTCAAGGACAACATTACATGGCTTTCCAGCAGAGCTAATGCGATGTGCCATGCATTGTAAGTCTTTCCAATGTATTTGATGAGTTCACTAGGCATTCGAGGCTGAGGGAGGCTTGACTGAAGTCCTTCCAAAAGAGCCTGCACAACATTTGGCCGGTGTGCCTGCTGCTTCTTGTGATAATCTTTTGATAAGAGAGTTATCATTGGCTTAGCAAGTGCTACTTGTTCGTCCTTGTGTAAACTCACCCAGACAATGGGGAAGACCAACACCCACAAATTATACGCAACATTTGAATCCGTATGAGCCAGCTCTCTCAGTGGAATGACCAGATCAGCAACCTACAATGGAGTAAAAATTCAATCAAAATCAACGAAACACTGTATTCTAGGGTAAATTATTTGAAAACCCACTGTTGATTGCCCTACCACAGGATCACCCATCGCATACTACAAAAGTACACTGCACTTCATTCTAGTTCATGTCTTGGCTTCACGTATAATTCCTTCCATGACAAACCATTATTGAGAATGAATAAAAGCACGGCAAACAAATATTCTTACTACAATTCCGATTCTGACCATAATAAACATATTCATTTAGCCTTTTGTAAGTTGATCAACAGTACTGTGAACTCCTCTTATCAAAAGAAATCTCAAAGTCAAAAATAACAAAATAAGTTTAAAAATAAAATAAACAAAACAGGAAAATATAGAAACAATAAATATCCCCATATCATCAGAAGAGTCGAAAAGAAAACCAAGAAGAATTGACCAACAAAAGCAATCAAAAAGAATAAAAAAAAATCTCCATACACTGAAAAATAAAAACCATAATGAATAAAAAATAAACGGGAAAAATTAAGTTTTTTTAACATTTGCTTGTATGTATATAATCCGGTTTTTTTTCTCCCTTTCCCAGCCAAGGTCTTGTTCCACATTGCTGTTCACTATGCTCGCATGAAAAATAAAAATCTGTCATGGTCCCCCAAGAAAGTCTCTCCAATTATATCATTTTAGAAGCCCAAGATGGTTTTAATGATGAATTTATCAAGTATCTTATGGTTGCTATGCTAACGGTAATCAAACTTGGGCAGTGACAGTGGGTGAGAATGGCACGTGACATGGTGTTTGTGCTCTTGAGGATAGCCGTGCAATATGGGTTAGAATGGTCATGGTTGTTGGTGGGGTCAATGAAGACGGGAATATTGCAGGGGACCAATGATGACGGCCTGCTGAAATATCACCTTGTTGATCAAGAGAGTGGGAACGAGATGCTCTGGACCCATTAAATTCCATGTGTAATTGAAGACATTTAATAGTCATGGCGGCATGACCAAAAAAAGAATGGAAAAAGTCATGGTGGCCGTGATGCTATGGTCATGGTTTACATATATACATACAAAGAAGAGAAAAAGAAAGAAGAGGGGGGGGGGGGGGGGGGGGAGGAGGTTCTACGTGTTCAAATACACACCACCTCATCCTCTTCTGGTTAGTGAGAAGATGACGAGGAGGATGGGCGGTGGCGCGTGTCTAGATATGAGGGAGAAGATAATGATGGATATCAGGAAATATACAATGCTGACTTTTTGGACAGTAAATATTGTCAAAGGATGCAGTAAAAATGGGAAAAAACCGAATGGTGTTAGTCTGACAACAATGCTGGGGAGTAAGTGTAAGTTCCAGTAATACTGCCATGTCCCCATACATAGGCCTAACAACGGTGGCTGTCAGTGTCATTAACACAAACTTTAAGAAGTTTGTCCCTAAGGTAATCTACCACTGCTAAGATACAAAAGATCCATATACAATGTCAACTAAAAATAAATAAAAAATAAAAAAAGTGAATGTAATACCTGAAGTTTGCTCATAGCATTCAGAAACTGTGCATGCTTTAATACAAGGCTATCAAATGTTAGAGGAGCCTCATCTGCCGCTTCTGAAATATCGGTAACCATGGGCTGCACCCCAGAACAATCAGGAAGAGAACCTGGCATCACAAGTGGTGGAACCTTGGCAGAGTTTGGAGCAAGGGTGATAGGCTTATCATCGACTAAAATGGCAAGAAGAAGATCAAGGCCTTGTTTGAGCCAAAATACATCACTCAAAGCCTCCCATTCCTGAATTTGAATAATATATTGCAATCGTATGAACAGTGTCTTCCCAAGAGATACATGATAAAGGGTGAAGAACTTCATACGGATTTCAGGATCCTTGGCCCTTAAACCAAGCAAATATTGCAGCTCTACTTTCTGAAACACTTCTTGGTGTAGTAACACAGGGTATCTGGAAGTCAATCAAGTCATTATTTTAACGGATTGATCAAAGTTGCAACTCAAATAAATAGATAATGAGATCCTTACTTATCTGAATCAGCACAAAGCCCATAAAGAAGCTGAAGATATTTCTTGTCCCACTCCTCTAGAACATTGGGGGAAAAGTTCTGCTTATCTACTTGTGAAAGCTTCTGAAGGAAAGAAACGACTTCCTTTGGGGTGAGGAAAGTACTGGAAGCAACAGGCATTCCAGGCCCACCAAAATCATCTTCGATCCACCCCTTTACCACATCAAGGATGCAGAGAAGCACAGAAGGGTCAGTGCCATGCTCAGAGAGCAGGGAATTCATAATTTGAGTCACAGATCGTTTGCAATCTGGAACAAGCATGATCCTTTCACTAATAAGCTTCAATATGAATGTAAGATTAGCAATGACAACTCCAGCATCAGCAACTTGACGAGAAGAAGTGACTGCCGAATCTGAATCTGATCTTTGACCCTGAAATTCCAAATAATTAGGTACATGTAGACCCAGAATACCAAATAAAACAAGACATAAAAACTTGCACACACATCAAAAATTAGTTGGGGAATTCTATTCCATCATCAACGAACAAGAAAAATGGATAGCATGCAATGCTTTTCGTTAACCAGATTGGCTCTGATGACATAACATATAGATGGAACAGAAAATTGGTCTCACCTGAGCAATTACATGTATGCGTTTAGTAATTCATAACATCAAATACCCCCCACTACACCTCATGAAAGTAGGTGAATCTCCTAAAGTCACAGAAAAGAAATAAATTTTATATTAGAAAGCTAGGCCATACTTGTCTCATATAAGAACCAGTTGCCAATCCCATATCCCGTGCCAGGCGCTGAAGGACACGAACCAAATTATTTGGATCAATGAAATTCTTCTGCACCTCTGACAATGTCTTAATAATGTACAGTACAAAACTAATCATGTTCGCAGAATTATCTTCGCCTGATGTCTGAGGAGCTGTAAGTGCGGCAAGGTGCTTTTGTATGAGTTCCTCAACTTTCTGATACAACAGCTTCACATCTGGTGGTGTACTAGTTGCTTCCAGAGGAAAAGCAACAAAAACCATCTTCAACAGGGAGCACAATGACTTTCCAGCATCTAGCATTTTGTACTTGAAACAAGGTTCAAGAATCTGCAGATCACACAGCAGTGTAATTATGGAATTCATAAAGATATAAATGACAGGAAGAGACACATGCACAAATATATATATATATGCCAACAATCCAAAAAGCAGACACCCAAGCATCAACTCTAAAAATCTTCGTGGAGCTTGAAGCATACTACTTGAAGGTTGGCTCCGGAGTTCCGTTCCTTCCATGTCGATAGCAGATCCCGCCCCAAGGTATGATGTAAGTCCTTGATCAGATTCTTGTTCTTTGTTGCAATTAAGGTTTCTTCTTCGTTAGTGCTAAATATGCAGTTCCGCTTTAACTAAAGCACTAGGGCACTGAGCCCGCTTAGCAATTGGCAAGTTGTGGCGCATGAGGATAAAATCTTGTTATTAGAAAGAGGTCGGTCTAAAGATTTGGAATAAGCCTTGATCCTAGGGTTAAGGTTTTACTGTTTCTGATTCATGTCCAGACCTTCCTGTATCAATACTGGGGCACTCAATATCAGCTGAGGAAAGAGACAACCAAAGAAGTGGAAGCTAGGGCTACAACTTTAGCAACAAGGCTATAGGCGTACTAACAAAGGAAGTATTGAAAGACGCGCACCTCGAGCAAAGCCCTAAGGGAGGACAAGGTTGGGGAAAGATTTGACAGCGAAACTAAGAGCGGTGAGCCCATTCAGTCTTCCGGTCAAAGATGCTTTGGGTGACCCTTAACAGCTATTTGAAAGTCCATTCTCGCTTATGCCACGAACCGCAAGCCTAC